GTACCCAGATCATATGCTCGCCTACAGAAGGTGGTCACTCGAAAATTAGGACTCACGGATGTGTGAAAAGCTATTTCAAGCGAAACGATGGTGACGATGGTGACGATGGTGATGGAGAATACTTCTTCAACCAAATGTTTGTGAGCTACGGCCATAAGAAAACTTTATCCAAAGTTTTCACGAAACTGCTCAAAGTTGATGCCGGTTCCATTGACAAAATATTCCCGAATGACTGGAAATCGAAAACATGGTTCGTTCGTCCGTCCGTCTGACGCAATTTATTTTTCATAAAATAAAACTCTAATACTCTTTTATTTTGAATAATCATAGGAAAAAATTCGGTAATGAAATTGCAAGAATCGGGGAGGATGGAGTCGCAAGTGAAGCCACAATCACAGACGAAGAGAATGCGTCCGTCCGCCCGGAAAAGGCAGCGAAACGCAAATCCAAGAAGACTGGCCAGGGAAAGCCAGCAAAACGCAAATCCAACACGACTGTGATCACAGACGAGGGGAATGCGTCCGTCCGCCCGGAAAAGGCAGCGAAATGCAAATCCAAGAAGACCGTCGCAAGCGAAGCCACAATCACAGACGAGGAGAATGCGTCCGTTCGCCCGGAAAAGGCAACGAAACGCAAATCCAAGAAGACTGCCACAACCAAAGAGCAGGATGGGTCAGACCTGGAAAAGCCAGCGAAACGCAAGCGTTTCCAAACTGAGCATTTTCTTGATAAAACATTTAAAATATGTATCGAAAGATTAGAACCTGGTTTATTCGGTGGTTCATCAGGTGATCCATCCGGTGGTCCGTCCGTTGGTGAAAAGGTAAAAAAAAATGTTTACTCATATGAATAAACGCAATTTTGAATTTTATTTCATAATTTGATTTTAACAGGGCGCCAATGATCAATCGGCAAAGAAGGATGCCGAAAGCGATGGTGCAAGCGAAGGTGCAAGCAATAGCTCTTCTTCTGAAAGTGAGGACGAGGATGGTCCGTCCGTTAGTGAAAAGGTAAATAAAATTGTTCCATTCAAATGAATAAACGCTTTTTGGAATTTATTTCATAATTTGATTTAAACAGGGCGCCAATGATAAATCGGAAAAGAAGGATGCCGAAAACGAAGGAGAATCGAAAGTTTGTGAAAAGGATGATTCCAATAGCGGTCTGTCCGACAACTCTCAAGCCGATATTGTGCTAACTGCAGAAGGGACTGCTAAACCTTCCGTCGCCGGTGGTGGTTCGCCGAAAAAGCATCAAACTGTCGAACGCAAAGGTGTGCGCAAGACGTCGGTCGAAAGAGGCAAAGCTTTGAATGCCCAGAGCGGCGGTGCCAGTGATAGCTCTTCTTCCGAAAGTGAGGACGAGGATGGTCCGTCCGTCGGTGAAAAGGTAAAAAAAAAATTTTTACTCAAATAAATAAACGCGAATCTGAATTTTATTCCATAATTTGATTTTAACAGGATGCCGAAAGCGATGGTACAAGCGTCGGTGCAAGCGATAGCTCTCCTTCCGAAAGTGAGGGCGAGGATGGTCCGTCCGTTAGTGAAAAGGTAAATAAAAATTTTTCATTCAAATGAATAAACGCGATTTTGAATTTATTCCATAATTTGATTTCAACAGGGCGCCAATGATAAATCGGAAAAGAAGGATGCCGAAAACGAAGGAGAATTGAAAGTTTGTGAAAAGGATGATTCCAATAGCGGTCCGTCCGACAACTCTCAAGTCGATATTGTGCTAACTGCAGAAGAGACTGCCAAACCTTCCGTCGCCGGTGGTGGTTCGCCGAAAAAACATCAAACTGTCGAACGCAAAGGTGTGCGCAAGACGTCGGTCGAAAGAGGCAAAGCTTTGAATGCCCAGAGCGGCGGTGCCAGTGATAGCTCTTCTTCCGAAAGTGAGGACGAGGATGGTCCGTCCGTCGGTGAAAAGGTAAAAACAAAATTGTTACTCAAATGAATAAACGCGAATTTGAATTTTATTTCATTATTTGATTTTAACAGGGCGCCAATGATCAATCGGCAAAGAAGGATGCCGAAAGCGATGGTGCAAGCGACGGTGCAAGCGATAGCTCTCCTTCCGAAAATGGTCCGTCCGTTGGTGAAGAGCAGCAAACTGGCAAACGCGAAGATGTGCGCAAGACGAAGGTCGAAAAAAACAAAGGTTCCCATACCAAAGCTGCTCAAAAGCAATATGGTTCGGCAAACAAAGGACCAATGTTCAGAATGCGAACCTTAAGAAGCAAGAAAGGTTATTGATTTTACCATATTCATTAAGCAAGACTTCAACAACTTTCATCGAGCAATATTTCAACAACTTTCATTTTGTTCTCGAATTCATAAATAAATAAATAAAAGATAAATAACCGTAAAAATGAAACTTTTCATTGATTTACTTTTGTGAACAAACTATAGTTTGTTTAATTATAATTTAGACCTGTACACTATATCTCCACTCTTTCTACAGATAACACAAGTCTGTCCGTTCGCGTAGTGATGAATGAAAATTATGCGTCCGTCCGTCCATGAGAATTGACAGTATAAAAAAAATTATTAATTACAAACGGACGGACCTGATTCTCGTCCCGTCCGTCCGGGCACTTATGTCATCCGCGAAAAAAACAAATTTCCATCCGTCCGTCCGGCCAAAAATACCGTCCGTCCGGGCACTTATGTCGCTGAGCCATCCAGATAGGGCGCAAGTGGTGCGCTGCACCACGGCGCTCGGGCGTCGAAGGCGCACGAGCGCTCAAATTTGTATAAATTAGCGAAAAATTGAAGCGCGCAAATTTTCCAAAAATATGTAGAAAAAAAGATTCGCAAAGAGCTCTCATAGTTTTAGACAAATGGAAAAAAATGGAGCGGTTAGAGTCGCAATTTTTCGAAAATATTTATATAAACAGGAGATGTACTAGTAATTATATTTGCAACAAAGTACCTACTAAAAAGATTTTCTCAGTTATCCCAATAATGAATTACAAGATCTTGTTTTAATTTCTTTTATGAAAGACACTGCCTCTGGTTTAAATTGAATAAACAATATGAGCATATGAGCAATCGAAAGTCATTTTAATTCTGTTCAAGACTCAGAAAAATACTATACGAAAAATTAATGTAATTTTAAAAAAAAAATATTTGATAATAAAAATTTGATTAGCTATTCGAGATACTATGCACTTATTTGAATGGTTTGGAGCGAAAATGTAATACAGAAAAGTTGAGCGGAAAAATGTCGATGATGAATGAGCGGAAAAGGGATAGCTATCCCTTTTCATTTGACATTTTTCCGCTCAACTTTTCTGTATAACATTTTCGCTCCAAACCATTCATTTGTCGTTACTGCCACTAGTTTAAATTGAATAAAGAATATGAGCATAAAATTCAAATCCACCATAATTTGTTTTAGTAGTCAAAAAGTGTTAAGACGAAAAGAAACAAAGTTGAACATGCAAAGCAGAAGGATGACACCTTTCTAAGTAAACGATTGAAGTGAATTTTAAGTTTATGCACAGAAAATTGAAGTGAAATTTTTTGTTGGCCAAAAAATAATTTTTTTATTTAATGCAACTCAAGATTCGTTCATTTTTCGCTTGAATGGCATTTTACGGTGTAAATAATGTGATATGACTTGATCCAGCCAAAAGCGGTGTTTACCTTATTTGCGAAAACAACAGCTATGACGACGACGTTCATATCTCTTGACAGTTTATCGCGCAAAAACCATTCCAAACAAGCAAAGAACTGTACAGGTGTACATTTCATGTAGTGCTAAAAATATACTACTACTACCCAACACTGACTAACACTCAGAATCTGTGCCATTTTTCATAAGGCGTCTCCCCTCGTATCAGTAGTTTGTATTATGAATGTTAAAGTGCTTACATCGCCTTTCAATGTAAAAATAATACAAGCGATGTTTTTTGAAAATAAAAGCGTTCCAAAATGAGCTCTAAATCAGATAAAGTTATGAGTGGATACAAATCTCAAACGGAATAGAACAGCTTCATTGCTCCCAATATTATTTTTTGGATTGATGAATGCGTTTCATGTGCAATTTGGCCTCGTCCTTTCGAATGAAACTCTTGTCACACCACTTGCACTCGAATGGTTTCTCCCCTGTATGATGGACTCGTATATGATAACGTAGGTTGGTCGTTTGCAGCGTGGAATATTCACATATGTAACACTGATATTGACGTCGGCTGCAGATCATTTCGTGTGCTGTTTTATCCTCTGCTTGTGTGAATCCTCGGCGACACTTGGTACAACCGAATGGGAATAGATCACGATGGGTGGCTAAATGTTTATTAAGATGGCCTTTATGGATGCATCTCTTCCCGCATACTTCACATTGAAGTTGACGTTCACCGGTGTGTTTTGCTTGCATATGGCTTTTGAGATTGAATTTGGTGAAACTTTTGTATTCGCAGAGATAACATTCAAATCGACGACATTTGCAGCGCTTTTTGGCCTCTTTGGTGGCAAATCGTTGTCTACATTTCAGACAAGAATGGGGAATCTCATCAGTGTGAGTTCGTAAGTGACGATTCAAATTGCATTTTTGTGCAAAAGATTTTGAACACACTGGACATTCGAATCGCTTTTCTCCGCTGTGGATTTTCTTGTGCAGATTCAAAGCGCTTTTTTGAGTGAACCTTTTCAAACAGACATCGCACGTGTAGGGCTTCTCGCCTGTGTGAACACGAATGTGTTTAGTGAGGTTACTTTCACAAGATGCAACATAACCACAAACATGACACTTGTGCTCCTCTCGTTTCTTCGCCGCCTTGTTCCTCGGAATCGTCCGTTTGTTCTGTTTTCTCGACCCATCGCGTTTCTTTCCTTTGCCACTTGAATTGAATCTCTTACGGTTGACGTTTGATTTGACCACTGACTCACCACCTTTGCTGTCAAGAGCACTCAGTTCATCTTCCTTCGAACTCGAATTTGCTGACAAATCTCTTTCTTTTTCTGGCTTCTCTTCTTCGCACTTCACTTTCTCTTTTACACCATTCAAATCAAAGTCGGGAACGAAATCCGATTCATATTGGTCCACCAGTTCGATGTTCGATGTCACTTCTACTGCATCTGTTTCAAATCTGTCATTCCATTGTGTTACAAAACCATATTCACTGTCATCTGATGGTTCTTCTTTAATGTCTGATTCTCGTTTGATTTCGACTGCAACATTTTCCAACTTGGCGTACACGTCCATCCGATGTACCTTCGCCTGGATCCATATGCATAACCAATCTGTCGAACAATATCGAAGAAAATATGTAAAAAGTGAAATCTTGCAAGGTGGGTATTTTTAACGAAAACACACCCAATTCGTTGGAAAACAAACATTATTCATTATCTCTTTGCTTTTTATCAAATTCATGGCATTGATGTTGGGGAAAATTTAATACTTACAAATATCGTTCGACCGATTCCGTTCGTGCAAAATGTGAATAAAAGTGTCTACTTGCTAGTTTCTCGTACAAATGACCGACCGAAAGAGGTTTTAGCTTCCATTCAAACTAAAGCTGAACGTCAACTGAGTGTGGCGTGATGTTAAGTTGTATGGGTGTGTCAGTGTGTCACTGAATGAATACGATTGACATTTGGCTCTGTCTCTTTTTATTTCAATACAATTCCATTGCATTATTGCCAACATTCGAATTTTGCATCTCTTTGTTGGGAATTGAATTCAAACGCAAATGTTTCAAAAAACGAAAATAAGCTCCAAATCGAGCAATTTCATGAAGAAAAAACTCAATTTTGTGAAACTTTTTTTCTAGAATTATTAGAAAATTTTCTAATGCCGACCTCTGTTTGGAAATGTTAATTTTACACTTGAGTTCCAGTTGGAATGACAGTTGAACATTTGGAATGAAGCGAATGGATTGGAATCAAATTGGAAGTAAGCAATACAGGCTCACCCATATACACAAACAGCGTTCGATCACGCCACAAAACACACTTTACTGACGTACGAAGCATTTTATGCTACACAACCACTTTGTGTCAGTCATTCGAACGAGAAATACAAAACAACACGTACTCATTTTCATCGACGAATAAGAAAACAAAAAGTAAGTGCTCGAAATCTGTTTTTGCTATTTTAAACTCTCAAGATAAAACAGAGAAAACAAGTCTCCACGTTCTTCTATTTTCATTGAATTGATTTTCAATAGAAAGTGATTTATTATAGTACAGATTTTGATATTGATTTAAGTCGGTGAATTTCATCGTTTCCAAAACGATTGCATCATTCAAATTTTGTACAGAGTTCAAAGTTCCTACTTTGCCCTACGAACCTTTTCATTCTGATTGGAAACATTCCTTAGCTCACCTCTTTTTCTATTTGACATTTGTCAGCATTTTTTGGTTTCTTTAATGATGTTCGGAGGAAACCATCGGAGGAAACAGCACAGTGACCATTTCGCTTCACATTTGGTCACTCATTTTCATACAGACTAGATATGTGCCATTTTTCAACATGAATTTTACTTTTTTGATATAATGTAGTATTTCCAATGTACATTTACCTTTCAATCTCTATCAAATTGTTACGAACTCTGAAATTTCGCTGTTGGTGTAGATTTGTATCTGCGTAAATTGATTAATACTACTCACCTACTCAGTAAAAAATGCTGTCAACAAAAATAATTGAACTGTCACATTTCATTTATTTTTTTCATATTTTGGTTTCGTTTCTTTAAAAGACTATCATCGGTAATGGATATGGATCCAGGCGAAGGTACTTCAGATGGTCGTGTACGACGCAGGACGGACTTTGTTGCAGTCGAAATAAAGCAAGAGGCAGAAATCAAGGTAGAACCATCGGATGACAATGAATTCGGTTTGGTGACACGTTCGAATGTAAGGTTTGCAGCAGATGCAGTGGAAGTGACGTTAAGCATCGAACTGGCGGACGAGTCTGAATTGGATTTTCTTCCGGACTTTGATTTGAATGGTGTGAAAGATGAAATCAAGTGCGAAGAAGGGAAGTCAGAAAAAGAGAATGATACGTTAGAGAATTCTAGTTTGGAAGAAGGTGAACTGAATGCTCCTGACGGCGAAGACGGTGAGTCAGAGGTCAAATCAAACGTCAACCGAAAGAGATCTAAGACAAATGGCAAAGGAAAGAAACGTGACGGATCGAAAAAACAAAACAAACGGAAGATTCTGAGGAACAAGGCGGCGAAGAAACGGTCGGGGCACAAGTGTCATGTGTGTGGTCATGTTGCATCGAAAAAATGGAATCTCGCCAGACACATTCGTATTCACACAGAAGAAAAAACATTCGTATGTCCAGTGTGTTTTGAAAGTTTTGCGCGAAAATTCACTTTGAATTGTCACTTGCGAACTCACACCGAAGAGCTTCCCCATTCTTGCCTGAAATGTGGTCAACGATTTACCATCGAAGAGGTCAAACAATCACATGAAAAGCGCTGCAAAGGACGTCGATTCGAATGTTATCTCTGTGAATACAAAAGTTTCACCAGTCACAGTCTCAAAAGACATATGCAATCAAAACACACCGGTGAACGTAAATTTCAATGTGAAGTATGCGGGAAGAAATGTATCTATAAAGGTGATCTCAATCGACATTTGGCCACCCATCGTGATCAGTTCCCATTCGGTTGTACCAACTGTCGCCGAGGATTCACGCAAGCAGAGGATAAAATAGCACACGAGGAGATCTGCGATCGACGTCAATATCAGTGTTACATATGCGAATATTCCACACTGCAAACGACCAACCTACGTTATCATATACGAGTCCATCATACAGGGGAGAAACCGTTCGAGTGCAAGTGGTGTGACAAGTGTTTCATTCGCAAGGACAAGGCCGAATCGCACATGAAACGCATTCATCAATCCAAAAAGTAATTCTGTGAAGAACATACATAACTGTTCTATTCCGTTTGAAATTTACATCTTTGCTTGATTAAATAACACTATCTGTTGACTAGAATTAAGAAATGTCAATAGACTTAAACATTATTAGAATCCTCACAATAAAATTTTGAAGAAATCTGTTTGAATGACATTTTTCACCAACAATTTTCCAATTGAATCAAGTTGAAGCGATTATGCAAGAAATTTATCCGTTAAAGTTCAGAATGTAACTTTTGATTTTTACCTGCTGATTCAATAAAAGTTGAAATTAAAATTCATTTTTTATTAGCTCTGGCCTTGTCCCTCTTCTGATCGAGTTTATTTCAACTGTGCCAATGTAATTACAAGGACATAAGTTTACCCTACAAGAATTTTGCGATACATTGAGGTTTACGTCGACATTTCGCCGTAAAACAAAACCTTCCCGTGATATTCCGCATTGCGATAGGTTTTTCAATGTACAGGTTTACGCATAATCATTACGCCGACATATCTGCGACATATCGCATTGCGTAAACCTGTAAATTCGAATTGTATCCAACTTCATTACATTGAAAACATAATTTCAAATGGTTTTATTCAAACTTTTCATGTTGCTCATCGTTGCTAATAAGAAAAAAAAACTTATTCAAAATAATTATTAAGTAGAATAATCATCCATTGCAGCCTTTAAAAATACAACATGCTGAATTCGAATGAAGTTGATCGCAGTTCATGCATTCTGTGACAACTATTGCGGAAGGTTGGCGATACGTTTGCGTAAACGTTGTCGCAAAATTCTTGTAGGGTTAACTGCACACTTGAATCGTTTATATTTCCATCGTCAATTGCCCACTTCATAATTTTGGGCTAATCGCAATTTGATAATTGAACTCCTCGATCTGTCACTGGAGATGTGATGTTCCCTTGCAAATATTAACAGGAAACGAAGAATTTGATAACTTCTGAATTTCATCGAGATCAAGTACTCGATGTATGTTAGATAAGAATTATGACTCGAAATAAAAACCAGATTGACTGAAAAGTACTGAAGTACTATTCAATTTACTTACCAGGTCAGGAAATAATTTTACACTGACATGAAGATGGATTGCAACATAGTGAATTGTTTATGGGGATCATTCAGACGTCAATAGAGTACCTCCTTGTAACAAACGCTTCTGATATTATTCGAATTTCCAACCTCAGACAGACGGAATTTTTCTAGTCTCATGCAAAAAAGGACAAGATAAAACATTCAAAAGCATTTGCAATGCGCTGCTTATTGCTGATAGATAGATTATGTCTAATTATGGTTTCAAAATCAAAATTTTATTCAATTTAATATTCTTTTCTTTACATGATAACAATCTGGAAATTCAATGAATTGGCCATTAAATTCGTTGTATTTCTGCACATTTCAATCAAAGTTAGAATCGACCATGATATGAAGTTGATGATATGAAGGTTTGTTTCAGTTCGGTGTTTGTTGTTTTCCAAATGTAATATTGTTTAATCAGCATAACAGATAGTATGTGAAGATGACCGTAGAAGACGATGAAACATCCTTATTTCGCTGGACGATGATGTCTTTTCATATGGTCGTTGGCATTGCGTTTGTGTGAAAAACGTACCTCGCACCACTTGCACTGGAACGGTTTTTCTTCTGTGTGATGGACTCGCATGTGGCGTCGTAGGTTGGTCATTTGCAGCGTGGAATATTCACATATGTAACACTGATATTGACGTCGGCTGCAGATCATTTCGTGTGCTGTTTTATCCGCTGCTTGTATGAATTCACGTCGACACTTGGTGCATCGGAATGGGAACTGATCACGATGGATGGCTAAATGTCGATTGAGATTACCTTTATAGATACATTTCTTCCCGCATATTCCACATTGAAATTTACATTCACCTGTGTGTTTTGCTTGCATATATCTTTTGAGATTGCCTTTGTTGAAACTTTTGTATTCGCAGAGATAACATTCATATCGACGTCGTTTGCAGCGCTTTTCATGCGATTTTTGGGCGTCTTCGGTGGCAAATCGTTGTCTACATTTCAGGCAAGAATGGGGAAACTCATCAGTTTAAGTTTGGAAGTGACAATTCAAATTGCATTTTAGTGCAAAACTCTTAGAACAAATATCATATTTGTATGGCTTGTCACCTGTATGAATACGATGAGATGCCATTTTTGTGATGCATCATAACCACAAATGGGACACTTGTTCTCCTCTCTTTTCTTCGCCGCCTTATTCCTCGTAATCCTCCATTTGTTTTGTTTTCTCCATCCATCATGTTTCATTCCTCCCAAATTCGAATTGTGTCTCTTAAGGTTAACGTTTGATTCGACCTCATGCTTATCATCTCGATTGCCATGAATATTTGGATTGTTTTCCTTTGAGCTCGAATCAGCTGATGAATCTTCTTCGGTGTCTCCTTTCTCTTCTTCAGACTTCACATCCTCTTTCACACCATTCAAATCAAAGTCGAGAACAAAATATGATCCTGACCAGACGTGGGCACTGGGGGGGATTTCTGGATTTACCCCCACCTGGAGATGGTAACGTCCGGATTTCCCCCTCTAATTTTGGTGGGCGTGGACCCCCCCCCCCCCCCCTAAATTTTTTATAATGAAAAAAATGGATCGAAATTTTTTTCTGACATTCGATTTGAACCCACAATAAGTCTTATTTTATTATTACATTATTCATAATCGAAAAAAACTGTTCTTAATATTCTTGTATTTAGTTTTTAAGCAATAAATTGAAGAATGGAACACACAGATGATGATGAATAAAATTCAAATCAAAAATCATGTATCAACATTTAAAGAAATTTCACTATAAATTTTACTTTCGCACTTCTTTCATTAAATGAATTTTGTTGTGTTTTGTTATAAATAGGCCTCCCATCACGTTTTTTTCAAAAAACGGGAAATTCGTGGCTAAAAATCGGGAAAAACCGGGAAATGAAAATTGTCTAAAAAACGGGGAAAAACGGCAATTTCAAGCAAAAAAACGTGAAAAACGTGATTTCGTTGTTGAATATATTTTAAGAAATAACTTTATAATTTGGAATTCTTATTATAAATCTTCAAATACAGAGCATAAGGCTTCGTTGTCGTTATCGCCTTCAAAGTTTGATAAGAAAAACAGTTCATCATTTCCTTTCGAATAATTTGTGCCGCTTTTGATGGCCCGTAAAACATCGGCTTGCCTTGATATTTTGTTGTAAAACTGGAGGCATGTTTCCTTTAATTTTACCCCTTGGTATTAAATTTGATCAATGCCAGAGACTTCACTTTGGATATATCCAAATCAGATCGGTTTTGTGCCCATGTTTTCTTAACCGACGAAAATATTCGCTCAGCATGTGATGGAGAATTCCGAATTGCATCATTTACATTTTGCTTTATAACAATCAGAATCAACCGCGGTTAACCATAGTTTGAACTCAGGCAATTGTTCCCAAGCGTTTGAGTATTTGGTGCCTTTCTTTGACATTTCAATTTGGTTCCAGAATAAAAAAAAATACAAATCGAACGAACTTATTGCAACGATACAGTCCATGGCCAAACACGAACTGATTTCATTTCGTGCCTCTTTGACTTACTTTCGACTAACTTCAAATCGATATATTCAAATGATTCATCACAGCAATTGTGCAGCAAGCGATAAATTGTCACATAATTGCAAATCACAAACCAATATATTAAACTTACTGGTTAGATAATAAACAAACATCACAGTCGTTTAATCGACAGTTTTCGTTGAAGCGGCTGTGCGCACCGCATGCGAAGAGAACAACATTTGTTTATAATTTTAATAAACATTTCAGTCAGTCCACTTGGTGTACTTTTTTTATCGCACATATTCGGCGTATTCATTGTGTTGTCCAATGAATATTCGAATCATATGATTTTTAGTTTAAAAAAAAATTTGAGAAGAACATTCGCAAAAAAACGGGAAAATACAATAAAAATTGCCCAAAAACCGGGAAACGGGAACTGAGTCCAAAAAACGGGAATTTCCCGTTTTTCCCGGTTTTTCCCGGCGAGATGGGAGGCCTAGTTATAAATAAACCCCTCCCCTGCGCATTTTCCAACAAAACTGGTTTGACCCCCACCAATGAAACACTGTCCTTAAACCCCTCCCCCCAAAAAATTTCCATTTTGAACGTCTGACCCCCCTAAAATTTCGAATCGTGCCCACGTCTGATTCTGACTCGTACGTCAATTCGATGTTCGCTTCCACTGCATCTGCTGCAAATCTATCATTCGGCGATGTCACCAAATCGAATTCAGGGTCATCTAATGGCTCTTCCTTGATGTCCGACTCTCGCTTTATTTCGACTACAACACTGCCTGGCTTGCGTCGTACACGACCATCCGAAGTACCTTCGCCTGGATCCATATCCATGTCCAATGCCAATCTGTCGAAAAGTCGAAACAAAATATGAAGGGAAATTGAAATGTGACAGTTCAGAAGTTTTTATTATTGAGCATTTTCCTGGGGATAAATTCAATTGACAATTGTGATGGAATAGACGCATACATTTAAAGTGAATTTGCAGAATTTATTAAATATGAAAATGCTTTCAAAATATTATGTCATATCACATTGAAACTAAAAAGTAGAATAAAATCTCGTCGCACTGTACGAAAATTGTTCGGCAAATGTCAAGCATTCATTGTGATGTTTTTTTCGCGAAATATCGTTAACAAATCCAAAACGAATATCGAAAAATGGCAAGTAAAGAGGAAATGCGTTTGAACAAACAAATATTTCCGAACAGAATGAAATCCTTCGTAAAGCAAAGAATGAGATTTAAACTCTGAACACAAATCGTATGCTACAATCGTTTCGGGAATAATGAACACTGGCTTCATTGAATATGAAAAATGGGCGAAAATCAGTCGGTTTCTAATGAAAATTTGCTCAATGAATATTTGAATCAAAACTTTATTTTCTCTGAAAGCTTGAGCCTAATTATGCAAAAATATAATAATTTCAGCCACCTACTTTATATTTCCTTATTCGTCGACGAAAATGACTACGTTTTGTTGGATGCTTCTCCTTTCATTAAGTGACACAACACTTATCTCAGTACTTATGTGTGTGTAGCTTTGTACATTAGGGTGTTTTTCATAACCTGAAAAAGAAAAATGGTAGATTTTAAATTAAAGAGGAAAAAATTCTGTATCAATTGGTGGTGTTCACACAACGGAGCAATCGATATTCACACCTCCCGAGGCAAAAAGACTGCTTTTCCATTCGAATGTCTAAATAACTCTCGCTCCGAAGCGTTGAACAAATTCTACTTACCGTGATATGATGCATTGAACAAGTCATATCCAAAGAATGCGACATTGTCAAACCGGAAAATGAACACGACTCATTCTGATCATCATATAACGTCTATAAAACCACTCATGTACTGCGGTAAATAAAGTTAGACACCTTATAAACCTTAAAACAGCCCACTAAGTGCAAGGCTTGAGAACTCTAATAAACTATTAGAAAATATTTGTTAAAAAAAAAATTTAATGCTAAACGCTGGATTTTGATTTATGGATTGAGTGGAACGCCGTCGTCATCTGGTCGTCGCAGCAATGCTGGATGTATCGGAATGTCAAGCAGCGTGCAAAGACCTAAGTAAATAGAAAACAAGCACACAAATAACAATTAATTTAAGCGAAAACCAAATCGATTCCAATTTTCAAATGAAATATTAATAGATAATGAACCTTTGTACATGATCAGTTTGGCTGCTGATATGTCCCGATGCCAAAGTGATTTGAGCAACTTGCGTGATTGTGCAGCGTCTTCTGTTCCAGCGTTTTCAGCAGCATTTGGTTGCCAGGTTTTGAAGAAGCGTTGCTTCTTTGACACCAAACGTCCTGAATTTCGTTGGGTTAGAATGGCTGCAATAGCATCACCTTGGTCGCGCATTTCCTCCCATGTACGCATGATTTTCCGTTGCATTTGCAACACTCGTTTGCTCACGTTCGTATAGATGGTTCTCGGAAGTCCAACACGTTCATCTGGTTGGCAATCGTTGCACTTCTTGTATCGTTTGCTCTTCGTTCATATCGGGAACCGTTTGAAGCATCGGCCACAATGTTGCGATGTCATGTATTCATCCACCAACCGAACGACACAATTTCCACGTCTTTTGAAGGCTGCAATCAGCTTGCGAACGCCTGGACACCGCACGTACTTTTTGATTCGGATCGGGCAATTTGGTGAAATTTCAGCTGCTCCGATGTTGATGATAGCTGTCTTGAAATTTACCAGCTTACCGGCGATGAGATCAATTGCACGACGCCATTCAATGTGTTTGTCCAAACGTAAGCGTGCATAGTTTTTCTGACTGTATGCCGCGATACCATCTTGGGACATTCGCAGGCGATGTTCGATGTAATGGCGCCAAGAGATGTTCCGTGGCGATGGTGTCTGGCCAATCTCTGCGGCGATACGCTTGAGGTCCGCTTGTTTGTCATACGTGAAGACTCGTGTCATTCGTTCGGCTTTAATGTTGCGCGCATCTTGCTTCGATTTCTGGTGGTATTGTTTGAACGAAATCTTCTCGTTGGTCTGAAAATAAAATGCAACAAAAGTGAATTGATACTTCTTCTTCTTCTTCTTCTTCTTCCTTTTTTCGTTTTGTAAATACTTACCTCTTCGCCGGTCTGTAGATCGAGACGGACCGACGCAATAAAGGTTCGCATGCCTGGATCAATTCCCAATGCATACGCGAATTCGTTTGCGAAATATTTTCGTTTGGTTTCGGCCTCATCTTCATCAGCAACAGTTTTGCTCTGTTTCGGCAATTTGAATAACACCGACGCTGACACACCATCTGAAACTATCGAATCGCCGAATTCCTTTTTATTCTTGACCAGCTTGATAATTTCGTCCATGTTGAAAAACAAACGCCAGCCTCCTCTCTCCTTGAATTCAATCTGTGAGATCCAGCGCTCTTGGTATTCGCCGTTTCGTAAGACTCGAGTGCCTTTTGTTCGCGGCATTGCCTTGATGCCCTTTAAAATGTTGTACAATGAATCCGTATCGATTTTCACGTGTCGGCGCTGGAATGTGCACTTCGGAATGACTGTGAAGGTGGTGATTTCAGGCGGCTCTGGAAATTCTGGATGTTGCACATAGAGCGGATATTTTCGGAAGAGATTCCAACTTCGCCGTAGATTGGCAAACGAGAGGTGAAAGTTATGAATATCGCGCTGTATATTAACGAACATGCGCAATGCTTGGAACCAATTGAGTTCAACGAATTCTTTGATGTTGAATGGGTGTGGATCAACTTGTCTATAAGGTGCTCCAATCCAATACAGCTCCGCCAACAGTATTTCCAATTTCCGTATGGCATTTGCATTGCCACGCGTTGAATCTCTTCGGTTGTATGAGTAGTTGATGGCATTTTTGATGTCGTCACCATCGAACAATTCGTCCAATTGGATTTTTTCACTCAGAAACATGTGATTCAATTCGTAGCAACGCATTTTGAAGAACTTTCTCAAACGCTGTTCGCAATGCGTTTTGAGGTTGGTCTTGACGTTTGTGGCATATTGTTCGTACAGGTATTTGAATGTATTGCCGAAAAATCGGTTCGTTGGCCACGGAAACCATTCGCCGAGAATTTTGATAACCATTTGCCGGAAACCTGGGGCCATAAACATTCGATCATTGGTGTAGTTTTGCCGGAGCACACCTTGGAAGCACATTTTGATGATTTCATCGCCATCGGAGTTGAAAAAGTCGTTGTTGCAATCATCGACCGCCGTATTAACCTAACAAGAACAATGGTTTTTTTTGTTCAATTTGAATGAATCGAATCGGTTCAAGATGGTCGTACAAAATGTCGAAAACAGTGAAAATGTAAAAAAAAACTTACCAGATATAGAAAATAGAGCGATGCCAGAAGTGAGATTAGCGTTGCCATGATGCTCATTTCCCCAATCACTGTTGTCAAAATCAGCCGATACGGTTTTTGGATGATTGTTCGTAGAGCCAGTTTCACTGTTGTGAATCTCTCATCGCTTCCACCGTGAGCTCCACTAGCTCCACGGGCCATGATGAATAGCTATTAAACAAAAAAAATTGAACAAATTCATGAGAAATTGATTAGATGATTGAGATTCACAAAAAAGAGCAAATTTCATCATATTATATGTTCATTTTTATAGGCAGGTCGTAATTTGTTCGACATTTAAACAATTGGATTGATTGTTTTCGGAACACAAATCGCAAGCACGGTAAAATGTTAGCCACTTTGTGTACATCAAAATGAGGAAAACTAATTCGATATCATGTATTTTCTACCTAAAAACACTAACTAAATTACTTAATTTGTACAAAAAACGAATAAAACAATCACTATAAATCGAACAGTATTCACAACAAATGACTTGCCTTTTCAAATGCACAGATCCATATGAATCAACTGGCCCCCGTTTGACAGCTGAATATGGTTTTGACATAAATACCGTACCGCAACAACTCTACTCATTTCGTGATGAAATTCATGTTTAATCGGTTCCGATATAGAAACTCAATACATGCTCGGATAACGGAATCAAATAAACAAATGCAACAAACATAACAATAACAAAAGATTCTGTTGTAGCTTTGTACATCGGGTGGGTGTGGTGTAATCGAACACGGTTTGTGTATAAGTACGCCCGTGATGCTCGCTATTGAAGGTGACAGCTTTCAATTCGATTCCATTTGCTGCATTCCAAATGTTCAACTGTCATTCTGACTGGAATTCATGTTTGCATTCCCAAACAGAGTTTGCCATCAGAACGGACTTTTAATAATTTCAAATAGAATTCAGCAATGACATGAGTCATTAATTTATGCAATTGATTCGATTTTCGAGCTATTTTCGTTAAAATGATTTTTCTTTCTTGCCAAAGAACCATGTGTTTCTGAATTAAATTCGCAATAAACGTTGGAAGAATCAAATGTGGACAACGATGGAACGAAATGGAAAAGAGCCTAGTGTCATTGTTCATCCAGTGACACAAACACATTCAACGAAATATCACGCCACCGGCCACACTCAGTTGATGTTCAGCTTTGGTATTGATTGGTGCGCATTAAAAACGAAAAACTTCTTTCGGTCGATGATTCTCCAGAAAAATTGGCAAGCAGACATTTTTATTCACATTTTGCACAAACAGTCGAACGCACGAAAGTTGTAAGTATTAAAATATGTTCAACATAAATGACATGAAGTTATTTCACTACAAAAATTTCGATTCGATTCTTTTGTATGCCCATATCTTGTGTAATAGTATTTTCCCTTGCTATTGCATTCATCAACCAAAATGTTCTCAATGAAAATAATCGTCTGAAACTGTCAGATTAAATTTCTTCTCTTTTTTTCTTCTCATTTTTTTCGACAGACTTGTATCGGTACTGGATATGGATCCTGGCGAAGGTACTTCGGATGGTCGTGTAAAGCGTAAAGCAAATGGTATTGAAGTGGAAATCAAGCAAGAGCCCGACATCAAGGAAGAGCCGTCGGATGACAGTCAATTTGTTTTGGTGACACGTTCAAGTGAAAGATTTGTAGAAGATGCAGCGACTATGACATCGAACATCGAATTAATGGGCGATCCTGGATGTGATTTAAATCTCGATTTTGATTTGAATTTTGTGAAAGAGGAAGTGAAGTGCGAAGAAGAGAAGCCAGAGAAATATTCCTCAGCGGATTCAAGCTCAAAGGCAGACAAACCAAATGCCCATGCTGGTCAAAGTAGTAACTCAACGGTAAAATCAAAAGGCAATCGCAATCGACTCAATTCAAGCGTAAAGAAAATGAAACGGGATGGATTAAGAAAACAGAACAAACGAAAGATTCCGAGGAATAAGGCGGCGAAGAAACGAAAGGAGCACAAGTGTCATGTTTGCGGTTATGTTGCATCTTGTGAAAGTAACCTCACTAAACACATTCGTGTTCACACAGGCGACAAACCCTACACATGCGATGTCTGTTCGAGAAGTTTCACTCAAAAAAGCGTTTTGAATCGACACAAGAAAATCCATAGCGGAGAAAAAACATTCGTATGTTCAGTTTGTTCAAAATCTTTTGCACTAAAATGCACTTTGAATCGTCACTTGCTAACTCACAATGATGATCTTACCCATTCTTGTCTGGAATGTGGACAACAATTTGCCACCGAAGACGCCCAAAAATTACATGAAAGACGCTGCAAACAACGTCGATACGAATGTTATCTCTGCAAATACAAAAGTTCCACCAAAGGCAATCTCAAAAGACATATGCAAGCAAAACACACAGATGAATGTAAATTTCAATGTGAAGTATGCGGGAAGAAATGTATCTATAAAGGTGATCTCAATCGACATTTAGCCATCCATCGTAATCAGTTCCCATTCGGTTGTACCAAGTGTCGCCGAGGATTCGTAGAAGAAGAGGATAAAACAGCACATGAAACGATCTGCAGCCGACGTCAATATCAGTGTTACATATGTGAATATTCCACGCTGTATATGACCAACCTACGTATTCACATACGAGTCCATCATACAGGGGAGAAACCGTTCGAGTGCAAGTGGTGTGACATGCGTTTTGGTCACAAACAAAATTCCAAATTTCACATGAAACGTATTCACCATGCCGAAAAATGATGCAGCGCTGGATGGAATTATTTTATTCAATTCGAATTAATCCAACTCTTCATTTTCTCATTCATAATATTACATTTGATTTGTTACTTCATTCGATGATTAAAATTTAGAAAAGTAGCTTTGCTCTCTCAATATAACTCTTACAACACAATTTAATGGAAATCTATTTGAATCGCTAATGACATAATTCCAAATTTGAAATAAAAATTATTTCACCAATTATTTTCCACTCTACAGCAATGTGACATTTGTTTTTCTCTGCTGATCTTACCCAATAAATTAATTATAAAATAAAGATTCAAAATAAAATTCATCGCTTTATTCGTTCTGGCAGTTGCCTTTCCATTGAGTTTATCCCATCTCTCCCAATGTAAGTACAAGAACAGAAGCTAAGTTACCTTACCTGAATCGTTATTTTATTCCAGAATCTACTTTAAAATACTTACAACAAATCATTTTTAGAGGAAGTTGCTAATAAATTCTCTCAAAAAACATTTTAATGAGCCTCGGAGCCTTTTGAAACGAGATTTGAACATGAAGATGCATTGTGTATAACATTTGTTTTTTTTTAATTCAACGTTTTATTCAATTTTCTGTTTTTTTTTTCTTGACATGATAAAAATCCAAAGATTCCAGAGGTTTTCTATTGAACCGGTTATGTTTTGGAATATTTCAATTTAGCTAGAATGGACAGCGAAATGAAGCTAGTAGTATGTAATTCGGAGCTTGTTGATTTTCACATGGAATTTCACTATTTATAGTGTTGCTTCGAATGGAAGTAGATGAAGATGACCGCAGAAAACTCCTACGAACCTCGTTCTTTCGTTGAATGATGTTGTCGGTTCATATGATCTTCGGCGATCCATCTCTGTGGAAAACGTGCCTCGCACCACTTCAGATTTTCTGATGAATCTCTTCCCGCGTACTTCACATTGAAGTTGACGTTCACCGGTGTGTTTTGCTTGCATATGTCTTTTGAGACTGTCTTTGGTGAAACTTTTGTATTCGCAGAGATAACATTCGTGTCGACGTTGTTTGCAGCGTCTTTCATGCGATTTTTGGGCGTCTTCGGTGGCAAATCGTTGTGAACATTTCAGACAAGAATGGGGAAGATCATCATTGTGAGTTCGCAAGTGACGATTCAAAGTGCATTTTTGTGCAAAAGATTTTGAACACACTGGACATTCGAATCGATTTTCTCCGCTGTGGATTTTCTTGTGTTGATTCAAAACGCTTTTTTGAGTGAACTTTTTCAAACAGACATCGCATGTGTAGGGCTTCTCGCCTGTGTGAACACGAATGTGTCTGGTGAGGATACTTTCACAAGATGCAACATAACCGCAGACATGACATTTGTGCTCCTTTCGTTTCTTCGCCGCCTTGTTCCTCGGAATCTTTCGTTTGTTTTGTTTTCTCGATCCATCGCGTTTCTTTCCTTTGCCACTTGAATTGAATCTCTTACGGTTGACGTTTGATTTGACCACTGACTCACCACCTTCGCCGTCAAAAGCATTCGGTCCATCTTCCTCCGAACTCGAATAAGCTGACAAATCTTTTTCTTTTTCACACTTCACTTCTTCCTTTACACCATTCAAATCAAAGTCGGGAACAAAATCCGAATCAGACTCGTCCACCAATTCTATGTTCTGTGTGGCAGTCACTGCGCCTCCTTCAAAAATTTCATTCGATTGTGTTACAAAATCAAATTCACTGTCATCCGATGGTTCTTCTTTAATGTCTGATTCTCGTTTGATTTCGACTGCAACATTTTCCAATTTGCGGCGTATACGACCATCCGAAGTACCTTCGCCTGGATCCATATCCATAACCAATCTGTCGAACAATCTAAGAAAATGTTTTTTTTACGAAAACACACCCGTTGAAAAGTAACGATTATTCATTATCTCGTTGCAATTGAATTCATGGCTTTGATGTTGAGAAAAAAAATTAATACTTACAAATATCGTTCGACCGATTCCGTTCGTGCAAAATGTGAATAAAAGTGTCTACTTGCTAGTTTTTCGTACAAATGACCAACCGAAAGAAGTCTTAGCTTCCATTCAAACTAAAGCTGAACGTCAACTGATTGTGGCGTGATGTTAAGTTGTATGGGTGTGTCAGCGTGCTACTGAATGAATACGATTGACATTTGGCTCTGTCTCTTTTCATTCCAATACAATTTCATTGCATTATTGCCAACATTTGAATTTTGCAGCTCTTTGTTGGGAATTGAATTCAGAAGGGAATGGTTCAAAAAATAAAAATTGAACAAATGAAAACAATTCCAAATCGAGTAACTTCACGAAGAAATAACTCAATCTAGTAGAAATTTTTTAGAATTATTAAAAATCCTTCTAATGCCGACCTCTGTTTGGAAATATAAATTGTACACTTGAGTTCCAGTTGGAATGACAGTTGAACATTTGGAATGAAGCGAATGGAATCGAATTGGAAGCTGTCACCTTTTCAATAAGCAACACAGGCTCACCTATACACAAACAGCGTTCGATCGCGCCAAAGGCCACACTCGACTGACGTTTGAAGCAATCTATAGCACAGACTATGCTACGCAACCACTTTGTGCCGGTCATTTGAAGGAACAGCATAAAACAAAACATATTTCTGGCGCGAACTAAGTAGGTGCTATTTCAAAATAGCAGCATCTATAAATAGCAACTACTAATAGCTCGAACTATAGCCGCATTCAAAATGAGATCTTTGCAATTATGATTGAGTAAAATATTAAGAAATTTTTAGAGCGTGTTATGCGCTGATGTCAGCAGCACTAGCTGACGTCAGTTTCTGATATCAGCTGCTGACGAGTATGCGTTGCGTTATTGTAACGCATCCACAATACAAAATTCATATTCCCTTCCAGATTTGCCAAATCAAATTTGAGGATCAGCTAACATCAGCTCATAACGCGCTCTGAAAATTTCGTTTGAAAAATGTTATGGAGACAAATTAAGAAAATGTCAATTGCCGAATTCTCACACATCATTAACCCTTTAATGCGCAATTTTTTAAATTTGAATCATTTTGATATATGTTTTGTGCCACGATAAATAGAGAAAGACCTCACTTAGATTTAATAAATTGCGCATTTATTGAAAAAATCGGAAAAGAGTCAAAAGTGTCAAATCGCTATAACAGCTTGAAAAAATTAAATTTCATAAAACTTATGATGCAGAAAGTTAAATTGATGTGTCTTGGACCAACGAGTCCCAATTTGACAATTGAAAAGAATGTACAAATCCACAAAATAAGAGGAGGAAAAATGTGGAATTCTGCTATAATTTGTGCATGTTTTTTACAGCAGTACATGAACAGAAAAAACTTTCCATTCAGCTAACCAATTGTAGCCAGTAAAGTATCAAATGAAAGCTAGTTCGATTCCTTACATTTGTTTCCAAACAAGAATGCAAAAATCAAAGTGCAGTTTTTGGAGAAGTACGCGATTCATGCGCCAAGTACATGGTGGTGAGAATCTGAAACTACAACGAACTGTCATGTATTATAATGAACGTACACTTGGATATAAATCAAACGGATCTGATGATGAAAAAAGTCTATTCAAGTAAATTACAGTTTCATTTTTTCGTTTTCTGGATGATATGAATAAGCTGTGTAATATTTTGTGGAAATGTGAAACACATCGATGTTTGATTGTATTAAATAGGATACAAAGCTATTGATTAACATTGTGCAGAAGTGTCGTTTTCAACACAAACCAAATGTGTCATTAAGGTGAAATACATTAGTTTATTGCATTGAGATATATCGTAATAATCGATGAAATATTTCAATTTTATTAGTAGAACAATAAATGATAACAGTGAGGTGTCTCGCGCTCGAAATATTCATCATTAGAAATATAAACATGAACGATTGGAATGTCAGAATGTGAACTATAGCAATAGTATATACTATATAATCTTGATGATAAAACATGACTGAAAATTGTTTTTATTTATAAATAAAAAATGACAGTGAAAACTTATTTTAAATATATGTAATATGAATAAGTTCAATAGTTGCGCAATGTATTATGTTTAATACATTCAACGAATGGTGGCGTATTGGCAACTCATTTTTGACGTTTCTGTACCAAAGGCCGCACTCTGGCAAAAATATTCAGTGGTTTACTAGCAGTCAATGACAGATAGCTGAGGATATATCCTGAGCATAGAAACTCAGTAAGCTGAGATTGGGACATTTTGACTTTATGACGTGTAGTCCATATAAATGCACGATGAAATGCACGAAATTGTATGCGTGCCATCATAAATTTGTATGGACTACACGTCATAAAGTCAAAATGTCCCAATCTCAGTTTACTGAGTTTCTATGCTCAGCATATATCCTCAGCTATCTGTCATTGACTGTTTACTAGCTATAGCGTTTGCTGTATCTGGTTACTTTAGAAACCAATGCGTGATAAAGGGTTTGTGAATCCGCAATATTATCAAAGCACAACATCTGTGTGTGACACGCGTCCAATTTGACGATAAATCAACACAATCGTATCATGATCATTTAAATTTGCATTTTATTTGTAAAAGAACCGTGTTTTGATTTGTATGGGACGGAAAAATGGTTGGGACTGCCCTCCAAGAGAAAAGGAGGTGAAAAATTTAGAAAAAAAAAATGAAAACCACACTAAAATTTCCCGCCGAAAGTTCGGCATACAGGTCCCATAGAACAAAATCCTGATCCGATCACTCCAGGTTTACAAATCGCTGCCAATTCTTGAGATCAGCATTAATACTTCATCCATACAAACTTTCCTTTTGAAATGAACGAATTGGTCCAAAATGGGGCACATTTTTTTAAAATTGAACGCGTGTTACACAGATGTTGTGCGTATCACTTGATAATATTGCGGATTCACAAACGTTATTGACGTGTGAGAATTTGGCAATTTACATTTTCTTAATTTGTTTCCACGTATTTGCATTTTTCAAACGAAATTTTTTTTCTCTATACAATCAAAATTACAGAAATATTATCGAAACAACATCTGTGTGTGTGACACGTGTCCAATTTCAAATTGACGCAATTCGTATCATAATCACTGAAATTTGCATTTTAATTGTAAAATTTCAAAAATAATATCACTTTGAATCGCAATGCGTTGGCCTATAAATGATGATGCCTCTTCCAAAGCAATTCATCAGTGAGTGAAAAGAATTATGAGAAGATGATATTGAAAAGAATTTCAGCACTGTTAGGTAAAAAACAAATTTATTTGTCTTTAAAACTTCTTTTGGTGAAATTGAACTAATTTTTCATATTTAGGAGTACTCGCCGTACTTTCGCTGGCCGAAGCACGAAAAAAAGTGAGAGTTCTACTTATCAATTTTACAATTCAAACGTTACTTCAATCAATTTTCTACATAACACTAAACCTTTCCCATAAAGGCACTATTTCAAAGGCGCACGATTGTGAATAGGTGGATGATTTTTCCAATCGTGTTCGATTGTTTGTATATGGATAAAATCGTCCACGATATATGATTGTATATTTGATATTTCCAATGTAACGATCAATGGACGATTTCAAAACGATCGTACACGATTGCAATTGTGCGCCTTGGAAATGGTGCTTCAAATGATTTCGTTCAAAATGAAAATGTGTTTGTCTTCTTTGCAAAAAATTTCGAAACGAAAATGCTCTAATTTTGAAATATTTTTCTGCAAGGTTTCGATCAACTACAATTATTATTGTAAACCAGAATTGAGCTGTAATGGCATTAAACATGTTATGTGCTCTAATGAGAAAGTAAGTAACTTAAATCCCAAATTAAAAGGAAAGCAGAGCATTGAAGTTGCTGACTTTGTAGCGCTGCTGGTGAACAGATCTGTTCAACAGCAGCTGCTGGTTGCGTGCATATTCGCTGTGACGCGCGCTTGTTCATTTAACGATTCTCACACATAGTGTTTGTCCCTTGCATTCACAAGGGAAAAGACAGAGAAGCGTATACAACAGACTCCGAAAGAGATTTTTATTTTGTTCATTTACCGTTATTTGTCAACAAGCCTGTCTACTATGTAAAGTGGCAATGCGTGGATATAGGCAGACTTGTTGACAAATAACGGTAAATGAACAACTTTTTCCTTGTGAATGCAAGGGACAAACACTATGTGTGAGAATCGTTAAATGAACAAGCGCGCGTCACAGCGTATATGCACGCAACCAACAGCTGCTGTTGAACAGATCTGTTCACCAGCAGTGCTACATAGCCAGCAACTTCAATGCCCTGAAGGAAATGCATAACAAAAAACTGAATTTACATATTGTCATCTCGTTTCACATTCATCACAAACACATTTCATGGCTTATGATTGTACATTGATTGTGTGAATTTAGAAATGGGGATCGAAATGTTTTGGCCAAACGATGCACGAAATGACAGATGCTCGCAGGAAGATGTTATTAGATGACCACAATAGTTTCCGTAATACTTTAGCTTTGGGTAAATTAATGGTGGAAAAAGAGGTGAATGGTAAAATTCGTCAAATACCTGGTCAATTTACCGGTCGCACGGCGGTCGATATGGGGGTATATGTGAGTGCAGAAACTGAAACTATGCACGGAGTGACATAGAGAAACTGTTAATATATTTTTCGTGTTCTTTTTCATTATCTCTTATTTTTATGAATGGCATTCAGAAATGGGACTATGAATTGGAAATGATTGCTCAAAAGCATATAACCGCTTGCTTTTGGGGTCATGATAAATGTCGTCGGACGAAAAAATTAATTCGTCCCGGTCAAAATTTAGCATCCATATCTGGGCCCAGAAAGAATTTAACACCTGAAAAAGCCATTAAGAATGCTCTGAAAGGCTGGTGGGATGAACAAAATAATATCACCTATATCGATCCACCTCCTCGCAACACCTACAGTAGTATCAAGGCAACTGATCAATATGGCCATTTTACTGTGATGTGCGGTAATCGAGCAA